GGCCTCTCTCGCATTGGTTGGATTATTCCTCATCCTCAGCCATAGTGTGCTTTCCTTGCGTGACCTACATCATTGTCACCATGATTAGAATAGTAGTTCAATAGTACCCACCTCTTCTTCTTAGGAGTCCGCGGATGTTTCTCTTGAACTCATGGATCTCCTCCTTTGTGGGACTCTTTGTGGTCTCTCTAATCCTTGAACATGAGTGTTCACGATTTGTAAAGATTCAGTAATGTTTTCAAGATTTTAGGTGAATCTTTCAAATGTTTGGTTTTGAGATTCCTTAAGTCTTTCATCGTTTACTCGATATTTTTCTACGTCTCCTTGCGAATCTTGGGATTTTCTTTTTGTTGCCATAGCTACACATGCAACGGTTAATAATTACAAGAAATATTCCTCGCTTTGCTCCCTCACTTGAAGTTCTCTCGATTCTCCCTCTTTTGTGGGGTATGGTTTGATGTGGCGTGGGTACTCTTACATTGAGATGCAAGCTAGATTGCTCTGGATGAATCGACACTTAAATATAGGAAATAAGATCAAAATGTAATCAATACCAACGATTAATGATGCCAATAATACGAGTGATAGAATACTAAATGATATACATTGCGGAAAGGAAACAAATGATATGAATGATACCAAGTGATATGTGTGAAGATGAAATCAAAACCTCGAGCCTAATGCTGTTGGTGTCTATTAAAAAAATGAAAAAAAAAATAGAATAAAGACTATCCTTCAAGTCTAATGCTTTTTGGAAAAAGGAGTAACTACAATATGCAGATTGAGGTTAAGCAACCAAAGAAAATAAAATAAGCACAAACAGTAAGAGAAAACTAAAATTAACTATAAACAATGTAAAAAATCCAATTTGTTAAAAACACACACAATAATATTTTACCTACAAAATAGTAAGGTTTGCGACAAATGGGGTATACTAGGGGTAAGGTTATGTGATGTACAATGATCGAATTAGGATGAAACTAAAGGTCACACATAGCACAGTGAGCGTACAATACGTATGTGGGCTGCCCTGAGATTCAAAGGTCATTTAGAGGGGCTGCACTCGAAAATAAATTTTGTGGCTGTGAAAAGGTTCCTCTCAGGTAAGACAAAGGTGTGGCAGCTGGTCCTCCTTCTTAGGGTTCTTATACCTTGGTGGAAAATTGTTCACAAATAATATTTGAGTGTTAGAATAACAAAAGTAGTTGCCGAAATTATTTGATTTTGGGGCGGATTTGATATGCCATAAGCCCTTCCCAAATATGTCGAAATCCAAATATGAAAAGTTTTCTACTTGGACACTTTTCATTTCAACAATGATAACTTCCTCCCTTGAATGACGACAATCTTGATATGCACATTGGATTTTCAAAAAAAAAAAAAAAAACAGTGCTCACTAAGACTGCAATAACTTTATGATCATTCAATGAAATTTATCGATTTTAGTCTATCTAAAATAACTCAATGATCTTCTAAATAATAATGGTTTCACTTACTTTTGATTTTCGAACAGAATGTTACGGAATTTGAAGTTGGGTTCTCGGCTTTGCTATCTATGGGTTTCTCTCAAAGTTTGGGGTTCGAAGAAAAATAAATAACTTGGGAATAAGGTTTGGTATCAAATGAGGTTTTGTTTGTTGTAAATATTGTTGAAAGCATAATCAAACAAACAAAATTTTGAAAAACTTTAAAGTAATTTTGGTAACCCAAACCGTTCATGCAAGAATGATATACAAAAATAGGCATGTGGAAGACAAAGAACAAGGAGATGAAATTTTTTGGATTTTCAAATAAGTAAAAGTAAATACAAGATAGAAAGTAACATATATCTGATATACAGCCTTAACTCTGGTACAACATGATACGCGACAACCCACAAAAGTTAAGTGAATTTTGATTAAGGAATACATTTTTCTAATCACAATCAATAATATACTTTTTCACAAGAGACGGTTACAACATCATGCTTTGTTATTGTGATAGATGTTATGCATGTGTATGCATGTCTAGTGTCACGGTCATACATTTTTCAACCATGCGGCGCCATGATCTAGGCTCGACCATGGCCAGCCTTACGGGGAACTCTAGCCCTAATCCACTTTTCGCGCCCTTTGTGGCTTCGTCGGACCTAAGGCGAGATTCTTTATTCCTCGACCGAGCTTCACTTGCAGCAGAATATTAGCTTGTCTCGGCAATGCACGTTGCTCGTACGTGCATTTAAACT